TAGTGGGCTTCACATCATAAATAATTTATAATCACTGTATTATATTGCAAAAAAACTCATTTACAGCATCAGAATTCTGCCATAAAAAATGAGACGCTGTGTACAGCCACACATGTACTTTCTTTGATTACTATGTAAATGGTAAATAGAAATCCATATAGTTTCAGGTCTGATTCTGCATCTGCTAATTGGATTTCACTGTATGGATTTAGTAAGCCAATATTCATGTTAAGTAAACATCTCTCTGAATGCATGCATATGACAAAGGTGATTTTTCTTTTAATTGATGGAATCAATGACTAAATCAGAGGTAAGCTGAGTTGACTTTGCAAAAGTAATCTAGGTTTTAATGAAAGGATTTTATACCTATTTCAGTAGTCGCCTTAGAACTAATGGAAAGAAAACAGAAGTGTAGAATCCTAAAGGTCTTCCAAGGGCATAAATTCATCTTTTTCCTGACAGAAATGCCCACATTATTCAAAAACATTCTGTTTTACATCTAATTCCTAGCTGACAAGTGTCCGTTTTTCCTGCTTACTCATTCGTCACCCTCGTGTTCTCTCTGCCTGCAAGGCATCCGGCCTGCCTTCTATCACATCTCTCCAAATGATGAAGGATGTGTTTAAAATGTTACTCACACTGCTTGCAGAGTACTTTGGAGGCATATGAAAGGAGCAGTTGCCGTGCTGGACTGCACAATATATTCTATGTTCTTTATACAACCTGAAAGCTAGAAAAGAGATTTGGGGCAGGATTAAAAGGACTTTTCAGGAAGAAGTATTACATTGTGAGGGGTTACCTATGAATCATTTTGGAATTAGATAAAATTTACATACAGTTTAAAATCAAATAACATCAAAATAATATATGGTATTCAGTGATGGTTCGATTAAACCTGTCTTTTGAAGTATAAGACTCTGATGTGTGGTCACCATTCTCAATTAGGAAACAACAATTTTCACAAGATGTGCCTTCCATTGGCAGGAATTTGAAAACAGTTGCAAAAACTATATACCAAATCCTAAGAAGAATTATAGCCTGCTACATTCGAACCCATCACCCCTTAACAGTGCTGCTGACTTTTGTCAAAATAAAATTTGCAAAAGAGCAGTAGTTACTATTATAGTCATTCTCCCAATTTCTGTGCACCCCCAACACAGCTGAGTTTCTAGTCCCCCTTTACTCCTAAATTTCTCAAACTTCTCCTTTTAAGTTCTTTGCTGCATTTGTCCTGTTGGCCTCCAAACTTCTTAAAACTTCGCTCCTCTGACAGTTGGCTCTTGGTTTTTCTCCTGTGTCTTTGTTCATACCGTAACATGTTTGCAGACAGCTTTTCCTCTGGAATGTTGGTGTCCTCTTTTTTTTCTTTTCCCTGCTCAGGTGGTGTCATTTCTAGTATTACCAGTAGTCTGGAAATACCACTGGTCTGGTATTTCTAGTGCTTCGGCTATCTCCTAAACAGTGAAGCACGTATCTTCTACCTGGCCTTCTTTTTCCAAACTTTAGACCTGTGGTTCTTAACTTGAGGTGATTTTCCTATCAGGGGACATTTGGCATTATCTGGAGGCATTTATGTTGTCATAGCTTCAAGAGCTCTACTCTTATCTGCTGGATAAAGCCCGGGGATACTGCTAAGAAACTTACTATGCAGAATGCAGCCTCACAACAGGAAATCCAGTCTCAAATGTCAATCATGCTAAGGTTAGAAATCATGATCTGGACCTACCGGACTTTTCCATTTCCAAATAGAGGGGGGAAATGTGGAAACGGTGACAGATTTTATTTTCTTGGGCTCCAAAATCACTGCAGATGGTGTCTACAATGAAAAAATTAAGACATTCGCTTCTTGGAAGAAAAGCTATGATAAATCTCAACAGCATATTAAAAAACAGAGACATCACTTTGCAGACAAAGGTCTACATAGTCAAAGCTATGGGTTTTCCAGTAGTCATATATGGATGTGAGAGCTGGACCATAAAGAAGGCTGAGCTCTGAAGAATTGATGCTTTTGAACTGTGGTGTTGGAGAAGACTTTTGAGAGTCCCTTGGACAGCAAGAAGATCAAACCAGTCCATCCTAAAGGAAATCAACCCTGAATATTCATTGGGAGGCCTGATGTAAAGCTGAACCTCCAGTACTTTGGCTACCTGATGTGAAGAGCTGACTCACTGGAAAAGACCCTGATGCTGGGAAAGATTGAGGGCAACAGGAGAAGCGGGTAACAAAGAATGAGATGGTTGGATGTCATCACTGACTCCATGGACGAGATTGAGCGAATTCTGAGAGATAGTGAAGGACTGGAAAGCCTGGTGTGCTGAAGTTCATGGGGTCACAAAGAGTCAGACACGACTTAGTGACTGAACAACGATAACAAATTGAATGTGTACCAAAATAAGTTTGCTATCTTTCTCACCACTTTCCTGCCCACGGTGGTATGATTTCATTTCATGATGGTATAAACTTAATAATTGCAATAGCTGAGAATATAGTATTATCCTTTCCTCTTTGCACTCTCCAGATACTTAGGTATCCTGGAACAAATGATCTGTTCATTACCAGAATCTGCTTTCTCTTCTTCCTGTCCACTGTCACTAGCTGATTCAGTTCCCCATCATCCCTCCTGATCTATTCAAATAGGTCTCTAACTACCTTCTGCTTCTTCAGCACCACCTCAGTCTCACTGAGAGCAATATGACATCTGATTTCCTTTCTCTGCTTAAAAGCCTTTGAGAGTTTGCTATTCCTTAGCATAGCAGGAAGGCTTTTCATGAGTAGATCGCAGCTTACCTTTCTAGTCTTGATTGTGAATCTTACATATCTTCATCCTAAGTACCTAATAAAGTATCTATCATAAGGAGATAATTAATAAATACGAAAGGAATTTGTTTTGACTCTTTGGAGATATATGTGCCTCACTCTAATTCTCCATCCTTATTTTCTCATATGCTGTTTAATTTAACTGCGAGTGAGTCTATATATTATTTGATTTGAGAATTAATTCTAGCCTTTACGTCTTTACCCTACCAGGCATCAGATGGGAGGTTTTCAGGATAATTTTTCACAAACAAGATATACCTTGTAAGAATATTTTATCCTAGGACTTCCCTGGCGGTCCAGTGATTAAGAATCTGCCTGCCATTGCAGGGGACACGGGTTCAGTCCCTGGTCTGGGAGTATCACAGATGCTGTGGGAAACCGATATGGCTCAACTACTGAGCCCAAGCTCTAGAGCCCTCAAGCCACAACTACTGAGCCAGCACACACTAGAGCCTGTGTTTCATGAGTGAAACCACCTCTGGAGAAGTCCGCACAACACCCCCACTCAAGGCAACTAGAAAAAGCCCCTGGGCAGCAGTGAAGACCCAGCCCAGGCAAGAAACGAAAAAAGAACATTTTATCCCGTGAAACTTACTCAGTGCTGCTGTTGCTTTTATTAATATTTTGATGAAATTTTTTATCTTAATGCAGATTTAAAACAAAGAGAAGCTACCACATGAGAAAAGAAAGAGTAGAAATTTTCTGACATTGCTGTTGAAAGGATACAAATCAACCTTAAAAGATATGAAGGGATGTGTGGGATAAAAAAATATGTATCAGCTCAACAGCCAGCAGGTTCTAATGCAGCATCAATTATTTTGCTCTGAGGCTTTGAGTAATTTTAGAAATGTGTTTCTTATATATAAAATAAGGACATGGCTTAGATAACTTTCATGTTCTAATAACTCTGGATTTTAAGTATCCGTTTCTACAGCCTACTCAATTTCTTGATAATAAAATTAGAAATGCCTTTCTGAAAGAAATTTTGCAGAATTTACAGTCTCTTATCTTACCTCAGACCCACATAGATCCGATAATCTTTTCAGAACCCCTAAACTCTTGAAGGTTTTCTTCTGCCAAGAAATTCACCCAAATAGCAAATAATATGACATGAATTTTTTTTCTCACTGTATTTTTCCAGATGGTGCTTTCTTATAGCTCCTTGAAAGGCTTAGAGATACACCTCTAGAGTTTTTGGATTACTACCCATTAATTCAGTAGGCCGAAATGGTGCTTTTATAATTTTAAGTCATTACTGGGGACGTGAAATGAAAAGACAGAGGTGTTAACTTTTTAATAAAATCTACTGGGTAAAATTTCAATAAATTTTTATTGGGAGGAGCTGAATAGTACATGGATGAAATTTTTTTAACTTTGCCTTTAAAAAATGCTGCTTTAAAGCTTTATAACTGACTCATTTATTTTTTAGCTTTTGTGTTTAAAATGATAAAACTGATTTCTAACATTTTTGTGTCTATCAATAGCAATTTTTAAGATTGTACTGCATATTGCTATAGCAACTATAACTATATAAATAAGTGATCAGATTCTTGTTACATTTAAGCAGAAATAACTATTTAATCTTCTAATTGGAGAATGGTGACATAATTACATATTGAGATATTTTTGGACCCATCCCAATAGTTACTCTTTTCTCTGTCTTATGTTTGAGATACTTCAAGAAGCTATATTTATTTCTCCAGGACTCCAGCATTCTGTTTTCATTCTGAAATAGAAACTTGCTTTTGAGTTATTTATCAAAAGATCTCAGACTTTGCAACTTCAGTGGTATCTATTGTAAAGAAATAAAGAATATTAATATACCTAAGGGACTCTGTATGAATAAGAATCATAACAATGGGATTCCTTTGATTAAAAATGTGATTGTTATAGTTGATTGTTAAGAAATACTAGCAAACTATAATGAATGAGTGTCACTAGTTGTTAGAATGAGGATCTCCAAAGCATTCCAGTGAGGATTAAAGTAGGAACAGCTAGTAATCTCTAAATTTCATAATTTCCACTACAAAGAATATAATCAGCCACATTATGGCACAGTACTAATGTGATTAAAAACCACAAAGAAACAGAAAATAATAAACTGCAAGTTTATTATTGTACTTTCTAGAAATGAATAAATGTTTATTAGTTTTGTCTTGTATTTTATGACTTGTGCTTTCCAGATCTACGAAAAACATTTGAGCAGGAACCTCTGGGAAAGGAAGTCTCCTTGGAACAGGAAGTCTTGCTGCAGTGCCGACCACCTGAAGGGATCCCAGTGGCTGAGGTGAGAAGCAAAAATTCTTTGCATTTAGCAACTGGCACTTAGTTATTCTAAGAGAGGCCTAATCCATGGCTAATGGTGCAGTGAATTAGGGTATGGCATGATGAATGGTTGGTAATGGAGTCCTAACTGCTTGCTACTGGCAAACTAGATTGATTGGGAACTGATTAATGACTTGGAGTCAATTAGAATGCCCCACTGGACAAAGCCACAGGCAGCTTGGCTTAATTTTGTCATTCTCTTTCAAGAAATCAGAAACACTGTTTTATTTTATCTGACACTAATCATAAAGAAAGATGGCCTGACTTAATAATGTGCCATCAATTTCATTGTTGTTCTTGATGCTATGTACAAAAAGTAAGATGGGTGTACATGTGTATGTGTGTGTGACAGCCTGTGTGCTCCACATGTATGTTTCCTGCCCTGTGATGTAATCAAGAACGTACCTAAAAGCCATAGCCACACACCATGAATAAAAACATGTTTGAGGAATGTCGAGTAGTTTCATCCTGTAAGTTTTCCATTAGCTCTTAATTTTCATTTTCTGGTTTTGGGCCTACTGAAAGCTCATGAAATATCATAAATCAGGTTTATACCATGATTTTTTATTAGCACCAGACAATACACTCCCCTTTGAAAATGCCTGTCCATGAGGGATAGGCCTCCATGACCACAAGAGTGTTCTATGCTCTCCTTGAGACACCATTTAGAGCACGCTGCAGAGGAAAATCATCTAATACCATGTCTTTTATTTCATTTCAACTAATTCCAAACTCTGAAAAATGTTACCCTGTTATGATTATCAGAAGACATTCTAATATACATCAAACACTATTGTCCTGGCAGATCCAGTATCCTACAAACACAGAAAAGCTTTAGTTTGATAAGTAACATATCTGCCAATTTGCTGGTGGTTCTTGTTAGCCTCTAAACTACACTGAGTTCTTTGGAATTTTTACTCTTTATTGCATTTATGGAAAGAAGCATTTTTCAAATTGTTACAATTTGGGCCTATATATGGGTCAGCTGATTTTTTGTAAAAGTAAGCCTGGACTTTTTCCTGTCTATGAAATTGTAAAATAATATTACTAAGACTTACTACATTGTCCAAAATTTTTTAATAGTTAATCAATGCACTATCAGATTTCCATAGTTTTTCTGTCCTTTGAAAGTTCAGGCAAAAGTGAGAGTCAGCACAGTTATAGTGCCCCATGACAACAAAATTAAACATCTGATAGCTCTTTCCAAAATAATAATAATAAATTAATAAGAAATTTAGGCAGGGCCCTTACAAATGACTCCATTTTCTGTCAATACCATTCACATCTCCAGTCTGTCAATGCAAGACTCTGAGTGGCACTTTTAATGAAATTTGCATTTTATCACTTTGAAAGAAGAGAGTTTGTTTTTGTCTTGTACCTGACATCCCGTGGCACTCTCTAGCACTGTGCCAGAGATTATGCATGATTACTTCTGTTTTATCCAACCACACTAAAACCTTATCTTCCACCACTGACTCACAGGATGATTTATTGTGATTAGAAAGGAAACAGCTCTTCCCTATGCAACATTTCATTTCACTTATGACAATAAGTGCATCTCTCTCCTTAATCATATTTCTAAAATTCTAATGCAAACCTCCTCCATTAAATTGCCTTAAAGACCAAAACATATCCTGAGTAACATGAGTGTCCATAGACTCTTCTTAACTCAGTGTTTCTTAAAGTGAGCAGATCCCTGCAGAGATTTTCAGTTAGGAGATTCTAGTAACTTCTTCATTTTTTTTAGTTTCCTCAGCAAAGTAGTTCACTTTGTCAAGGAGTAAAGATTCATGACTGCAAACTAATTGGCTGTGAATTTTATCTGTATCATCACTGGGGAAGAGACCAATTAACACTTGGCAAGCTCAAAAATCATATACCCATTTGACATTCAAAGAACTATATTTAATGTGATTTTTTTAAAGTCAGGAGAGAGATCAAAAACGCTTGAGAGCAGGCTTATAAACTCCTGTGTAGATTATTTCCAACACCCTTAGAATCACCAAGATCAGAAATCTAATGTATACCTTAACGTGACACATTGCAACTGTCATTTGCTCAAGAGGAGCAGAAAAAGACAAAGGGATGAAATATAATGTGGTGAATTAAGGGATTATAAAATTATTTTTAATTTAATAATATACATATTCATTATCTAAATGTTATTTGTTTGAGGAATTTAAAAGCATAAAAATAGCATAAAATTAAATACTGATCTTAAAGGGAAACCAGAAGGTAAAACTTTCATGTGTTACCATAAACAAAATCAGCCTTTAAGGTATCAGGCCATACTGGCAAGGATTCTTACTTCTTTTGTGTTCTAGGCAAATGATTTTGAAAACCTCAGCTACTACATGCTCAACAAACACATGGTTGATTGATTCAATTTATCTTTGTTTAGTAAGTATATGTCTAGCACCGTTGAATAGGTAGTCAAGTTCATTATTTGTAAAATATCAAGAGGCAATAATTTCCTTCCCACATAAGTCAGTAGGTTTCTAAAGGGCCCTACTAATCTTAAGTTACAGCAGCATCACCTTTGGTGCGAATAATGGCACAGGAATTTCTGTGGTAATAAATAACAGTTAATTTTCTCCTCTATTTTGGTTTTAATTTTTGCTACAGAGCGTTAAACTAATTTCCATTCAGAACTCTAGGCTTAACCCCATGCCATCATTTCTGCCTGTTGGACTTCGAGCAAGGTATTTCAATTCCTATACCTAAGTTTCCTTAATTAAATTACAAACTGGAGATACTAACAGTGTCTCTCTAGAATGTAGTTGAAGATTAAATGAGATAATATATGCAAATAAATCACTTAGAACATGTAGAAGAACTCAAGAGACATTACTGTTGTTATTATTATTAATATGTTATCACCTCTTGATTCAGAGAAGCCTGAACTCAACCTCAAGCTCACCATAGTCACTGACACATTGAGCCTCTGATGGGCGCTGTAGTGTACGCAGTGATGAAGTTTATATCCGATGAGGAATCCCAGAGATTCCCTCCTGTGTCTTCTAACCAGTTATTTTGATTGGAATCCACAAATGCTACAAATGAAGATAAAGTTTGAGCTTTAAAATAAGGAGACTCCCTTATTTATGTAACACATTTACTCTGCAGATGACTTGTTACTGTGGAAATCTGCACCAAGTCCTGATGTGCTGCTGTTCTTACTCTGATTTTTAAAGTTATCTGTTCAGTCATCATGGGCCTAGAACGCTGGACCAGACTTTGTGTTTCCTCCAAAGGAGGGAATTTGGAGTGGGATTACTGTTGGAAGTTCTCCTTTTCCAAGCAAAAGGAAGGAGAGTGCCAAAGAAAGTCTCAGGAGGAAGAGACCAACTCAGGATTCCCTATACTCCACCTCTCCAGGTGGTGACAGTTTTGACAAAGAACTCCTCTCAGTACTCACTGGTTAAGAAAAAAAATATGTTGCAGGTACCTCAGGGATGAAGCACAAGAGTTTCAGAGCTCTAGTTTTGGCTGTTCCTTCCCCTGGCCTCCTTGCCAGGCCCTTTCCTCATCTTCTTTATTTAAGTATTTATCAGCCACACAGCTTCCTTAGCACAGGGCTAGCATCTGGGGGCCTTCTGCAGTATCAAAGGCACAAACCCTTTAGTTGCTGCATCATAGTATGGTCCAGGGATCCCCAGAAGCCAGCACCTCGGGGTGAGGGGTACTTAGCTATTAATCAGCAGATACAGAACTATTTCAGTATTTAATACCTGGTATTAATAAAGCAGTAAAGCTGCCTGAATGTCAGCCCCTATGTTCTCTGACTTTTTATAGCTCCAACTATTTATTATCTGTGTCAAAATATGTCTGTTTACTCCTTTGCCTGCTTGATTAGATTGGATGAAATAAGAAGAAAAGGGATTTTTGTTCATGTTTGTCTCTAACACAAGCAGACTGTAGGTTACATAGTAGATTCTCTGAGTGCATTGAATTAAATGAAATAGAGAGTCCCTGTTGGATGTGACAGAGAAGCTGCACCTCAGGAAATGGAACTTTCCAGAAACAGGATGTTTGTCACCACGGAAGATGTGTGCTGAGAGAACTCAGTGCAGGTGGAGTAAGGGAGTCAGTCAGTCAGAAGGCTTTTAACTCACTGGACCGTTTGGATCACTCCAAAAGACCATTGGGAGTTACTTTAGTTCATGGACTATAGGACAGGTTAATATTAATTTTATTAAAATTAAAAGTAGGCTCGGCAAAAGAAAGAAAATAAATCCCAGAAATAATCTGAAATGGTATTCCTCAGTATTTTTAATAAGTCTTTTGCAAGGATCAAGCCAAAAATATAATTTCTTCCATTTCTGGGGAGGCATTTGCGTTCCTTTAGCAGAAATCTCTCATCTCCCCAAAGAAACCAGAAAATTAATATGCCCGTGAACGGGTGCTGGGTTGCTCCAGTGGCATAATGGCAGAACTCTGTGAGATAAATCCCTCCTTGCTCATTTTGGTTTATGCCTGGAAAATGTTTCTGTCATATGGTGAGCCAGAAATATACTCAGAGATGCTTTATTTCATCAGATTCTCTCTTTTGGAGAGTACTGGGATCAAAACATCAATGGATATGACATTTGTTGGCATGACATAAGGAGCAAAACTGAATTTTTCACTAAAATAAACCTGTGATTTGTTTCACCTTAAACAAGGGGATAATTGCTCCACTAATTATAATTGAACTATTTCTCATAGGAGTCTAATTGGAGGAACAGGGCACCATGTTCAACTTATTGACCCAATTGTGCTTAAAAAGTGTCATCTTATTTATCAACATTTGCATCTCTAATTAGCAAGTGGGAAAATATGGGGTGAAGTGTATAAAAATAGAGAATTTTTAAGCTGATAATGCCAGGGGGAAAAGCGGCTGGCAGCTGGAGGCTTCGCCAAATGTATAGCATCAGGCGGTTCTCCATCTAATTGATTATTAATATGACCACTGAACACTTC